GGTCACCCTGCCGGTCACCCCACAGATCAGCCCTGATCACCGGCCAGGCCTAGGGGCCCTACCCATGCACGAATTTCGTGCATCAGGCCTCTAGTATTGTAATAACTATGTATGGTGTCAGATGTGTACTAGACTTATGGGGGGATTAGATTACTTTGTAAGTTATATAAACGTCTAATCACTATGTAGTACACCTGAAACTAAGATTGTATGTCAACTGTAATTAAAAAACTAAAAATATTTTTTTAAAAATAAAGTAATAAATCAGAAAAAAAAGTGCTTGAGGGTAATTAGATGTAGTACATGAGATAAGTATTGTGGGTGCTATTACTATTTCTTCCTTCTGTGATCTCATGGCCTCTGTACTTCCATTTGTCACCGGTTCTGTAATTGTCTGCCTGCCAGACTGTGTGCTCCTGCAGGGCAGGGACTGCCTCATTCAATTCTCTGTCCCACAGCCTGCTTAGATCCAGAAACTTAGCCTTTTTTTTTTTTGTAAATCAATGAATGATCTGAACAAATTAATTAACCAGGTGGCCACCAGAGGTCAGCCTCACACCCAGAATAGAGCCAAACCAAATCAAAGTTCTTAACTGGCCGGGCATCTGGGGTCAGCTCAAGAGAAGCAGCGTCACTGTGACCAAGCAGCAGCTCTGATGGATGCAGCAAAGAAGCGGGGCTCTTCAGAAGTCAAGTTTGACCCCTTGCCGGTTCATGCTAAGCCTCTCAGCTTCCATTTCCTCATCTTAAAAAAGTGGTAACCCCACTGCCTATTTTACAGGATTGTGTGAGGCTCAGTGGCTTGTAAAGGCGCCTGGCATAGCATCCGGAAGAGCAGAGCTCGGTGTAAGTCTGTTGGGATGGGTGGATGCCTCAAAATCACAACATCTGTAACCAAGTGAAATCCTGCGGGCAGTGCCTGCATTAAATAATGCCCAGTTCCACCTCCCTGCTCGAGCGCCTTGCATCCAGAGCAATGGGCATGAGTGCGGAGGAGCCACAGGGGGCTGAGCCGACTAGAAATATGACCTGACTCCTCAGTCTCAGAATTTCAGGGATCAGAGTAAGCGCCCTAGAAGGTTGTCCTTTCCCAGTCCCACCCCATACTGGGTCACCCTGGACCAAGTTTCTCTTGGTTGAGAAGTATTGAGAAGCAAATGAGCAATGGATTTGTTAAAACACTAGGATGCTGCTTGATAGTCACTCACCCACCTACTCACTGCTGTTTCCCCGTTTCATGAGAAATTCTCACTTCTATGCAAAGTACCAATAGGCTCTGAGAGAGGCAGATAAAAGGTACACTTCGGGGGACAGTCAGGGTCACCCCAGCCTTAGACAAATGGCATAGAAAGCAGGTCCGAGAAAGGAGAGATGAAGGAACCAAACAGACTCAGAATCCCCAGAAAGCAGTTTCAGGTCAACTCCAAGGTCAGATACTGAACAAAATCATCTTGAAGCCTAGGTGAGACAACAGGATGTAAAGAGCGGGGGAGGGGGGGGAGTGCATTCACTAGACTGAGTGGATCTAAAAGTAGGGTGGTTCGTTATTAACGTGGTAGAAAGGAGGAAGACAGGGAGAGAGGGCTCATGCTATGCAGGTGTCGTGGCCTGCTGGCTTGGAGTTACTCCCATCCGCTGGGGAATTAAGGCTAACAGTAAACATACTGAATTCTCAGGTTTGAACCTCTGGAAATCCCAGTATGTCAGGATGGCATGATATTGAGCTTGGCTTGAGGTGCGGTGTGTTTTGGTAGAGGTTGGGGGACAGTGCCAGTGGAAGGCCTGAAATGAGATCTGATATGGACTTGTTCCAAAACCAGAGCTTTTTTCCGTGGGTCATAAAGTTGCACTTTGTCACCCAGCCAGCCAGGAGAAAACAAAACTCGAAATACTGTGGAGGGGACTTTTGTACCGGCTGGGGGTTGACTAAATGACTACCTGGGTCTGTTCCATCCCCAAGATTCTGTAAAGCATTCAGTAATAAGAAAATATTGACACAACATGTATTTGCAAACGGAATGTGTGACTTTATTTAACTTCTAATTGAAATAAATTCACATAAAATTCACCCTTTCAAAGTATGCAATTCAGGGCTTTTTAGTATATTCACAAAGTTGTGCAACCATCACCACTATCCAATTCCAGAATATTTTAAAAACTTCCCCGAAAAATTCTCATACCCATTAGCAGTTACTCCCCATTTCCCCTCCCCCACCCCCTCGCAACCACCAAACTACTTTCTGTCTCTATGGATTTGCCTATTCTGGGTATTTCATATAAATGGCAACATACTCTATGTGGCCTTGGATGTCTGTCCTTTCACTCAGCATAATGTTTTCAAGGTTCATCCATGCTGCAGCGTGTGCCAGTACTTCATTCCTTTTTATGGCTGAAAAGTACAAGGACTATTCCATGGAAACATTTTGCTTATTCACTCAGTAGCTGATGGACATTTGGGTTGTTTTCACTTATTTTAAAGGAACGCTTATGTACATTCATTCTTTGCCCGTTCCTTCCCTCAAATTAAGGAAAATGAAGGCCAAGCAAGCAAAATAGTAAAAAACTGGTACTTAGAAAAGGAAAAGCACCCTTTATTTTTAGGTTAAGCCAATGAAGAATGGAGCCAAAATCTGACACCTATCAAAACTCCCAATGCCTTCTAATCCCATGTCTGAGGTGAGCCCACCCACTAAACCTGCAGGTTAACCATTAGAAAGCCCTGGGTCAGCAGGAAGAACTAAGGTCCAGATCAGTGGTTTTTAGTTTTTCTATCTTCCAGGGGTTCTTACGGTTTCATGGAAGCAACACAGGGCCTCCAAGGCGGCTGGGGTTGGGGCGCAGGTGGACAGGACTCTGAGCCCAGTCCCATCCCTGCTTTAACCAGAGCAGCTCTGATTCTAATTATTTCATTTGTTGAGGTTCTAAATGTTCATTTGGAGCAAATAGAGGGGGTCCATGACAAAAAAAGTTGTTGGCGATCACTGGGTAGATGGTTGTGGAATTCTTGGACTGGAGCTGGGTCTTCAGGGTGGACGTTCTTACGAATTCTTCTGTGGAACCTTGATGGTGACTGTCTTCACCTCTGTGTAGGCCTTAAGCCCGTCCTCCCCCAGCTCCCTCCCATTACCGGACTCCTTAAAGCCTCCAAACGGCGTGTGGCACGTGACAATGTTGTAGGTGTTTACCCACACCGTCCCGGCTTGGAGTGCCTGTGTGAAGTACATGGCCTTGTCCAGGTCCCGTGTGAACACAGCGGCAGCCAAGCCGTACCTGGTGTTGTTGGCCCTCTCAATCACCTCCTCAATTTTCTTGAACTTGAACAGGGGCTGCACAGGCCCAAAGATCTCCTCCTTGGCAATCCTCATGTCATCTTGCACGCCACCAAAGACTGTGGGCTTGATGAAGAAACCCCGCTCCCCAAAACGCTCCCCACCGCAGAGAAGTTTTGCCCCCTCCTTCTGGCCAACCCGGATGTAGCCCAGGATTCGCTCAAACTGCTCCTTGTCCACCTGGGGCCCCTGCTGGGTGTCCAGCTCAAAGGGGTTCCCAACTTTCCTCTGCTTCGCTTTCTCCACTGTTCTCTCGAGAAACTCATCATAGATGGATTCTTCAACGAAGGTCCGGGACCCTGCACAGCAGCACTGGCCCATGTTGAAGAAGAGGGCTTCGTGGCACTGCTCCACGGCGTGGCCCAGGTCAGCGTCCGCCAACACGATGCTGGGGCTCTTCCCGCCCAGCTCTAAGGTGACTCTCTTGAGGTTGGAATCTCCAGCTGCCTTCTGGATCAGGTGGCCCACCTCGGTTGAGCCAGTAAAAGCAACTTTGTCAATATCCATGTGCTGGGCCACGGCCGCTCCTGCTGTTGGGCCATAGCCTGTGATGATGTTCACCACCCCCGGGGGGAAGCCTGCCTCCTTGATGAGCGAGGCCAAGTACAGGGCAGAAAGGGGGGTCTGCTCTGCAACCTTCATGACCACGGTGTTACCAGTGGCGAGTGCCGGGGCGAGTTTCCAGCCCTGCATGACCAAGGGGAAGTTCCACGGGATTATCTGGCCACAGACACCCACGGGCTCATGCCGGGTGAAGCAGAAATGCTCACCGTCCATGGGGATGGTCTTGCCGTGCCACTTGTCAGCCCAGCCAGCAAAGTACCGGTACACCTTGATGACCTCATCCAGGTCCAAGACATAAGACTCCTGGAAAGGCTTCCCGTTGTCCAAGGTCTCCAGTGAGGCCAAGTAGACACGATCCCGCTCCACTAGGTCAGCCAGGCGGTTCAGCAGCCGGCCCCGCTCAGAGGCATCCATCCGGCGCCATGGAGACCCCAGGCGGAAGGCCTCGCGAGCTGCTTTCACTGCCCGATCCACATCGGCTCGGTCCCCTTCGGCCACATGGCCGATGACCTCTCCCGTAGAGGGGTTGACTGTTGGGAAGGTCTTCTTGCTGACTGCATCTTGCCACTCGTTGTTGATGAATAGCTGGTTGTAGCGAATGTCTGGGTTCTGGATGGGGCTTGGAAGGGCTGCTGCTGAGGAGTACGGGGCAGTCCTGCCTCGGAGGCAAAGCAGCCGGGGCACCAGGAAGCGCAGCATGCTGACTACTCTGCAGAGGGACAGGAGGAACCAGGGTGAACAAGTGAAAGGGGCCCAGGTGGTCCCCCAAAGGCCCACCAGCTCAGACATCCCAGGATTCTAGCATAAGGGCTGTCACCTCAAAAAGCATGGATTGCAAGGTGAACAACGGCCCTGAAGAACAATCTGGTCCAACTCTATTGTGTCCCACCTATCCTTCATCTTACTCCCTCCCCTCAAATGTCACCTTCTCAGCAAGGCCTTCATGACACCCTGTATAAACTGCAGCTTTCCTCACCCCTAGCACTCTCTATCCCCATACCATACTTTCTTTTTCTCCAGCTGACATACCAAATAGTAGCTTTACACGCTTCTATGTTTATTGTCTGCCTCTCCCCAATAAAACATCAGCTCATTTTTTTCCCCTGTTTGGTTCATTGCCTGGCCCTGCTGCCTGGGCTTATGCTTGCTACATACATTTCCACAAAGGCCATCTAATTGACCTAAGAACGGAGTAGAAACCAAAGAGACTCAGAGACAGACTGTTCTCTTAGAGACAGGCTTGCTTCACTTAACCTCTGTGCCTCAGTTGCCTCCCATGTAAAATGCCCCAGGGGGCTATGTTCAATGGGGTTGTGCATATAAAAGCCTGCCACTCTCCACCCAGGACATCAGAGCTGGCAGCACCCTCAGAAACCAGCCTGAGGTTCAGGTCTCAGCTTGCCAGGGGTGCAGCAAGTCCAGCAGCAGCTGGGAAGAAGGACCTGTTAATTTCTTGCCTACAACTCTGAAAACAGTGTAGATTTGATTAAAACAGCAGCTGCAAAACTTAAACAGTATATAAAATGTATTCAATGAAATGTAAATGGTGTATAAAGTTCCTAGGTTCACTGAAGCAGTCACTCTCCAGCCAGGACCAATCCCTCTACCTTGACTCTCTCAATGGAGTCTTGTCCCATCCAACAGCAAAAGTTATTGAACTTGCCCTACTCCCCAATCCCATACCCGTACCCTCTGCCACTGGGCATGGAGAGGAGCAAAGAACTCATCCAGAAAAACACCTCAACCAGGTCCTCAGCTCCATACAAATCAACGCTGCCCAGGAAAGCCCTCCCTTGGGAGGGTAGTTGAGCCAGCAGACCTGTTAGGGGTGCACTCAGGTCCCACTCTGCTCAGGGCTCTGCCCCACGCAGGAGCAGCCTGGGGTCCAACAGGCCTGGGTCTGAGAAGGGAGGGGTGCACCGGAATGGGTGTAAGGAGGAGCCACCCATCCATGGGGTGGGGGTGGAAGGGCTAAACAGGTGAGAGAAGTGGTCACAGGCCAAGGTTGGGAAATCTTTTATGCCAAGCCAAAACCGTTCCTACTCCAGGGGCCTGCCTGTATGGGGGCTGCCAGGCACCGCCATTTGCATATAGGAAGATCGCTGGTGCACCAGATGTTGCAGTTTGCAGGCCATCTTCTCAGCAGTTAATTCAGAGAATCTCCTGGCAGCCCTGGGGTGATCAGAGCAGATGCTGACCCCATTCTGGAAGAAGGCTGGGGATCAGGGAGGTTCAGGGGCTCACCCAGGATACACAGCAAGTAAGAATAGGAGCCTCAGCCGGGGTTCCCACAGCCCTAGCTTTGCGTTTCCTCCTAACTTCGGGCAGTTTCTTCGGTTCCTGTATTAGTGCCCCCTGTGCCGAGGACCAGACCTTCTGGGTCATCGAGCCGGACCAGGTGGCGCCCACCTCACCCTTTCTGCACGGAAGGGGCGCTCCCCTACGGCTACAGTGAGGGGCCCTCCTCTGGATTGGGTCTAGTGGGCAGGAGCACGGAGGCCCAGCTAATCCGAAATGCTTGCA